ATAGCGCTGGCAAATATAACAAAAGAGATTTCTAAATCCAACACCTTATGTACAATAAGTCATTCGAAATGGTCATGGGCACGCCTACTTTATCTTTGACTCTCTGTCTGTCTGTCTGTCTGTCTGTCTGTCTGTCTGTCTGTCTGTCTGTCTGTCTGTCTGTCTGTCTGTCTGTCTGTCTGTCCGATCTCTCCCCTCCCTCTGTCTCTCTATTTCACTCTCTCTATACACCCCTAGGTCTATATTTATATACACAAACATTATAATACTTAATACATTAGAAGCGTTACAACTGCAGAGAAAAAATGAATCCGACAAGTTGTGGAAAAGACAGTGAGCAAGAAAGTTAAAGGTAATAATATGGTCTCACCTTATGCTTGGCCCGGAAACACATGAACTCAAACACGCCCTGTATTATGGCCAGAACAAGACCTACGATCAGGATGTAGAAGATGCCGGCCACATTACTGAGTGTCAGGGACAGTTTCACCTTTTGCTGGGGACGGTTCAGAGTTTAAAATGGTCAAGAGTGAGATGTTGAAAGAAAAGTATGATATTGTAATAGGGTCATAAGAGTCAGGTTGAAAAACGTATGGTATAACGACTGATTTATACATGTGATGTTGGAGGAATAGTATCATATTATAATAACAGCCATAAGTGTGATGTTGGAAAGAACGTATGGTATATCAACTGAGTCATACATGTGTGTTGAAAAAATGTATGGTTCAACAGCGGAGTCAACAGTTTTCAAACAACAGACACATTAATATTATCTAAATAGTACAATTTAAAAGCAGAAGCTGTGTTAAAAAAAGGCGTACTTTAACTTAAACATCTTTCAAAATCGAGCAAATAGTTCTTTTCAGTCGACACCCCCACCCCTCCCCAGCCCTGATTCTTTACCCATGAGGATGTAGCTAATCGACCCCTCACCCTCGCCAACTGCTGAAAGCACACCCGCCCACCCCTCTACACACACAACATCTACATTACACTCTGAGTTTAAGAAAATATAGCCAACCGAGATGCAGTGTTGCTTCATTGTACTCTAGGCAAGCTGTAGAGGAGTGTTACTGTATTCACTAAGCAAGCTGTGAAGGAGTGTTACTGTATTCACTAAGCAAGCTGTGGAGGAGTGTTACTGTGTTCACTAAGCAAGCTGTGGAGTAGTGTGTGACAAAGCATCCACTCACCTTTCCCCCGTGGGCCCCACCGCACTGGCCCTTCTCCACCCACCACTCCTGATGCAGGGTATACAGACGGCCTTCCTCCTTCAGTTTCAGGACGGCAACGTTGATCGGGTCCCTGAGGAGGAAAACGATGGAGCTACTTTAACCCTTTAAGCCCATGCCCGTTCGCCAACAAGACTCCTCTGGTATTTGAGCAAACCTA